GGGGAGAAGGGGACACACCTGGGGGGCACCTAGGGACAAGGGGACACACCTGGGGGATACCTGGGGAGAAGGGGACACACCTGGGGGACACCTGGAGGGGAGGGGACACACCTGGGGGACACCTGGAGGGGAGGGGACGGCCCCCGGCGGGCCCAGGGCTCACCTGCGTGGCGGGCGTGCGCGCAGGTGGATTACGTGGAGCCGAGCCAGAATCAGATCTCCCTGAAGATGATCCCCAGGATCGACTTCGACCGGATCAAAGCCCGGATGAGCCTGGTGAGCAGGGGGGGATCCACCTGGGGATCACCCAGGTGGATCCTGGGGCAGGTGGGTCCCCAGGGCAGGTCCCAGAGCACCAAGGAGATCCCCAGTCAGAGCCTGGCTCGGTGGATCCTGGAGCGGATCCCCAAGCAGATCCATTAGCAGATCCCTGATCAGATCCCATTTCAGTGGATCCCTGATCAGATCCCATTTCAGTGGATCCCTGAGCAGATCCTGGTTCACTGGATCCCTGAACAGATCCTGGTTCCATGGATCCTGGCGTGGATCCCTGAGCAGATCCATTAGCAGATCCCTGATCAGATCCCATTTCAGTGGATCCCTGAGCAGATCCTGGTTCCATGGATCCTGGAGTGGATCCCTTAGCAGATCCCTGAGCAGATCCAGGCTCAGTGGATCCTTTAGCTGATCCCTGAGCAGATCCTCGAGCAGCTCCCCGAGCAGACCCAGGCTCACTGGATCCCCGAGCAGCTCCCCGAGCAGCTCCCCGAGCAGCTCCCCGAGCGGATCCCCTCTCGCTCTCCCCCCGCAGAAGGACTGGTTCGCCAAGCGCAAGAAGTTCAAGCGGCCGCCGCAGCGCCTCTTTGACGCCGAGAAGATCCGGTGGGGCCCGGGGATCCCGCGGGATCCCGAGGGATCCGCCAGGCCCCGGCTGACCCCGCCTGCCCCCGCAGCTCCCTGGGCGGGGACGTGGCCTCGGACGGCGACTTCCTGATCTTCGAGGGCAACCGCTACAGCCGCAAGGGCTTCCTGTTCAAGAGCTTCGCCATGTCGGCCGTGGTGAGCGCTGGCGTCCGCCTCTCCCGCCCGAAATCCGCCTATTCCGCCCGAAATCCACCTGTTCTGGCCTGAAATTGGCCTGTTCTGGCCCAAAATCTGTGTCCTCTGGCCGAAATCGGCCTGTTCTGCCCGAAATCCGCCTGTTCTGTCCAAAATCTGTGTCCTCTGGCCGAAATCGGCCTGTTCTGTCCAAAATCGGCCTGTTCTGGCCCGAAATCAGCCTGGTCCGCCCCGAAATCTGCCTGTTCTGCCCGAAATCTGTGTGTTCTGTCTGAAATCGGCCTGTTACGGCCCAAAATCTGTGTGTTCTGTCCGAAATCGGCCTGTTCCAGCCCAAAATCTGTGCTCTGTCCAAAATCGGCCTCTGCAGCCCAAAATCTGTCTCTTCTGACCAAAATCTGCCTGTGCTGTCTGAAATCTGCCTCTTCCCTTCAAAATCTGCCTTTTCCAGCCCAAAATTCTTGCATTCCAACACAAATATGCCTGTTTGAACCCAAATCCACCTGTTTGAACCCAGATCCACCTGTTTGAACCCAAAATTCTCGAATCTGAGCCTTAACCACTCCCTACCCCTGGTCTAACCCCAGATCTATTTTTGTCCCAAAACCATGGGATTTTACCCCAAACCGTGGGATTTTCCCCCAAAACCGTGGGATTTTCCCCCAAAACCGTGGGATTTTGCCCAAAACCGTGGGATTTTACCCCAGATCACTGAAGGTGTCAAGCCCACCTTATCCGAGCTGGAGAAATTCGAGGACCAACCCGAGGGCATCGACCTGGAGGTGGTGACCGAGAGCACAGGTAGGGCACATCCCCTCTTCTCAAACCCCCCAAATCGCCTCAAATTTCCCCAGAATTGCCCAAAATCACCCAAAATCGCCCCAAAAAGGGAAGGAGCGGGAGCACAACTTCCAGCCGGGCGACAACGTGGAGGTGTGCGAGGGCGAGCTGATTAACCTGCAGGGCAAAATCCTCAGCGTGGACGGCAACAAGATCACCATCATGCCCAAGCACGAGGACCTCAAGGTCTGGGGAGCCCGGAGGGACCCGCTTCGGGCTGCTTTTCGGGGTGAAAAAGCAGGAATTTGGGGTTTTTTCTCTCCCCAGGATATGCTGGAGTTCCCGGCGCAGGAGCTGAGGAAATACTTCAGGATGGGCGACCACGTGAAGGTGATCGCCGGGCGCTTCGAGGGCGACACGGGGCTCATCGTCAGGGTGGAGGAGAATTTTGTCATCCTGTTCTCGGACCTGACCATGCACGAGGTGAGAACGGGGTGAAAAACAGCGAAAATGGGAAAAAACAGTGAAAAACTGAAAAAACAGTGAAAAACAGTGGAAAATGGGGTAAAATTAGGGGAAATGGAGGGGGGAGGAGAATTTCATCATCCTGTTCTCGGACCTGACCATGCATGAGGTGAGAGCAGGGTGAAAAACAGGACAAATGGTGAAAACGGGAAAAAATGGTGAAAACAGGAAAAAAAGGGGAGAAATCCCATTAAAATGGGATAAAGTTAGGGGAAATGGAAGGGGGAGGAGAACTTTGTCATCCTGTTCTTGGAGCTGACCATGCATGAGGTGAAAAATGGACAAAAAATAAGGAAAATGGGGAAAACACGAAAAACCTGATGGGGAAATGGGAAAAGCCCCGGAAATACTCAGGAAAGCTGGGAAGAAATGGTAAGATCGAAGAAATGAGGAATGACGTGGGGAAAACCTGTGGAAAAACCAGGAAAAATAGGAAAAACTTGGGAAAGACATGGGAAAAACCTATAAAAACAGGAAAAAATGGGGGAAATCTGGGGAAACGCCAGGAGAAAGCCTTGCAGAGCAGGAAGGGGCGGTTTGGGGTGAAAGCAGGCGGTTTTGGTGCCGTCCCAGTGCGTTTTTCTCCCGTTTCCCGACGCAGCTGAAGGTGCTGCCCCGGGATCTGCAGCTCTGCTCCGAGACGGCCTCGGGGGTGGACGTGGGGGGTCAGCATGAGTGGGGGGAGCTGGTGCAGCTGGACCCCCAAACTGTGGGGGTCATCGTGCGGCTGGAGCGGGAAACCTTCCAGGTGAGAGACCCCCGGAACCCCCCCGAAATCCCACCCAAAATCCCCCCGAAATCCTGCCTGAAATGCCCCGGAAATACCCCCGAAATCCTGCCTGAAATCCCCCAGAAATTCCCCCAAAATCCTGCCTGAAATCCCCGGGAAATTCCCCCGAAATCCTGCCTAAAATCCCACCCAAAATCCCCCTGAATTTCCCCCAAAATTCCCTTGGAAATTCCCCCTGAAATCCTGCCCAAAATCCCCCTGAAATCCCCCCAAAATCCTGCCTGAAATCCCCGGGAAATTCCCCCGAAATCCTGCCTGAAATCACCCTGAAATCCTGCCCAAAATCCCATCCAAAATCACCCCGAAATCCCCCCAAAATCCTGCCTGAAATCCCCGGGAAATTCCCCCAAAATCCTGCCTGAAATCACCCTGAAATCCTGCTCAAAATCCTGCCCAAAATCACCCTGAAATTCCCCAAAAAATCTGCCAAAATCTCTCCTGGAAATCCCCACCAAATTCCCACCAAAATTCCCCAAAAATCCCTCCCAGGTGCCCCCCCAAATCCTGGGGGAACCTGGAGGGGCGCCCCCAAATCCGCCTCCAGATGTGGCCCAGGTGTGCCCAGGTGTATCCCAGGTAACTCAGGTGTATCCCAGGTGTATCCCAGGTGCTCCCAGGTAACTCCAGGTGTGTCCCAGGTGTATCCCAGGTAACT